CGGGTGGCGTCCTGTCCAGAGAGGAGCGTCGTGGTCTGGACACGGCGCCGGCGTGTGCTTCCAGCATCCTCCTGATGAGGCCGGCCTTACTAAATGGATGTGTACAGACCCAACCATTCCGGGAACAGAGAAAGCCGTATCCTGAATTGCCATTTACCAAAGCTTGAGCCCCCGCCCCACCTAAATGGTACAGATAACAGAAGGTTAACAACATTGCTACGTGAATTTAGCACCTTGGACAGCATGCTTGTGACCGTCTCGCTTTGCCAGCCACGTTGCGGTTGCGTGTGCATTGGCTGGCGGTCGAGGGGCCGCGTGTTCGCAGCCAAGAGCGGCTCGCGGATGGCGCGGGTCGCAGCAGGACGGCCGGAGCGATCTTCTGCCTGCCCGTCAGGCCGTGACCTCAATCAGTGGTCGGGGCGCATTAACTCTTAATGACACGCGTCACAGGCGCTATATGCGTTTGGATGAATAAATATGGGGGGAAAAATGATTGTGAAAAGAGGAATTCACCAAATCAGATTACACATCTAATGCTGAACAATGTTTTTCATCATTTTGTTATTTGGAAAGAGAGATCTTTACTTTGGAAATACGTACGATTAAGCGCCCGTTCATATTACCGATCCCATAATGTTTTTCATTATTTTGCTACTTGGAAAGAGAGACTTTTACTTTGGAAATACGTACAATTAAGCGCCCGCTCATATTACCGATCCCATAAGGTTTTTTTTCCCCTTCACATCACTATTGATTTCTGCATAGCGGAGGGTCAGGTGACCCTCGGAGGGATGCACATGCAGCCGGGGGGGGGCGGCGTAGCCCCGCGCACAGCAGCTTGCGGCCCCGCGCATGCATAAACACGCTAAGTGGCTCGGCGTGGTGCAGCCTGCTGCATTATTCACTATTACACTGTCAGACCTCCCCCCATCCAGCCTGGCACCCCCCAGTTGTTCTGCAGTATGTTTCCCAAAAGCATATTTTCTAATAACTTGCCTAGCTGGGACCATGCAACTGAACGGTTCCACCTACGGAAGTAACTAACCAGGGCATTTGGGAAACGCACCCCTGGACGGTTCTTTAGACAGTCGCGCTGATCTGAAGAGGGATACATCATGCTGCAGCGTATATAAACAATACTATCTCTATATATACGCCTGAGCATGTCTGCATCAACCTAAAAAACTCCTGAAAAGTATATCTGTAATAAAAAAAGAGCATAGCAAAGGCTGTAATGATTCTGGAGTTCTGTGGGAGTTATTTTTTATATAAATAAAGTGTGTTGCTGTTTCTCGGAAGCAGTTTCGTTTTATTTTTCATTGTTATTATTAGTATTGGTTTGTATTTTCACTGCACGAGACTGCAAGGTATTGGGGAAAGTCTCATTTTTATCAGCGAACTGCTATTCTCTCTGGCCTCTGTTTACCGTTTAATTAAATTATTTGTGAATCGCCTTGTTTTGCTGTTGGTTGTATTATGCTGTGGAAATTGAAATGAAAGACTGGGGAGAGACAGCCAAGCTCCTGCTTAAATGTGTTGATGAAATAATCGTGATGAACAATGTAATAAGGCCTGTCTGTCTTTCCTAAAAGAGTGAGGCTTGTGTTGAAGGGACCATCCTTTCATCCATCCATCCATCCATTTTCTGCTTATCTTAGTCAAGGTCCTCGGGAAATAGAGGCATTTGTTCTGAATATTATAATTATCGTCATATGTTGGGAAGACTTTCTTGGTACCTGTATTTTTTCAGTTCTTCCTATATTTTAAAAATTTTTTCTATATAAAACAAAACTATATAACTTTAATTCTGAAATGCAGTAGTTCTGTATATGTGGTTCTATCAGTCTATCAGTGAAGGGCATTGCGTGCTTCGTGGGGAATAAATGTGGATTTTTGTGCGTCTCCCTCTGCCCCCGTGTGCAGGAGGTGATCCTGAAGCGAGCCGCTGACCTGGTGGAAGCTCTTTATGGGATGCCGCACAACAATCAGGTGAGAAGGGCACTGCAGTGCCCGTGCTCAGGCGTGGCTTTTCATATCTGTGCACAGGGTTCGAGTCCCGCCTGTTCTTTGTGCGTGTGCTGATCGCATGTCCTCCCCATATAATGCAGGTTTCCTCGCGGTAATCTGCCCCCCCCCCTCCCCCCACAGGCCAATGAGAGGCAGGATAAGCAATTGAAAGAAAAATAAAAAGTAGTAAAATTTTCACTGACGCTTTTCTGTGCACAGAAGACTGTATGAATGACGACGTGTTGATAAGCCGCTGCAGGCCGTCGCTGCTCCATACCAGTTGACTGTTATTATCAATGAGCTCATCGTTAGTAACCATGGCGCCTGTCGCCACAGGAGATAATCCTGAAGCGGGCAGCTGACATCGCCGAGGCGCTCTACAACGTCCCGCGGAACCACAATCAGCTGCCAGGCCTCAACAACCCCTCGGTGCACGCCGGCATGATGGGGGTCAACTCCTTCCCCAGTCAGCTCGCCGTCAACGTGTCGGAATCCTCGCAAGCCGCCAGCCAGGGTAAGCCCCCGCCCTCCCCCCCCACCACCACCACCACTCCACTGCTCCACTGTGTGATCATCCACTGCATTTGAGGAGGATTTCGCAGTACTCTACATGTGCGTGCTGTTTATATTCATTTATTTGTAAACACCCTTATCAGGCGTAGTTATACACTCAGAAAAAAGGGTAAAAATCTGTACCTTTGTCACTGGGGCTGTACCCTCAAGGGTCTGCCAATTGTACCCTTAGCCTGTAGGTAATTATACATTTTAAGGTACAGAAATGGACTCTGAGGAACATTTCTGTACTATTGATGGTACATTAATGCTCTTTGTACCTTTGTGATGTTCCTCAGAGTTAATTTCTGTACCTTAAGAGGTACAATTACAAGGGTACAGTCCCAATGACAAGCAAAGGTACAAATTTTTACCCTTTTTTTCTGAGTGTACATATAATTGCATCAATAAGAGTGCAAAAAAGATAACTGGATGATATGAGAGCCAGAAATAACCAGAAATTAGAGAATGAAAGAACACTTCGCCTTTTCAGGATCTTATCTGTACGACTGATATTAACCACAGTAATCAAACCATGATTAAAGATGGCGTCTACACGTGCATTCACGTGCAGGAGTGAATCACCATATAGCCGCTCCAGTCTACTGTTTCATTTCCATTTCTACCCGATCACCTTCACATCCCAAAATAATGCTGAGCTCACACCCTGCATCAGCTGCCAGCAGAGGCACCCTTTTAAGGAAACACAGCAACAGGAAGTGATGTCATCGACCGTGTAGCTCGCCGACTCCTCTGCACACAGCCATAAAGATGACACGGCTCCCCAGTTCCCCGCAGTTTGTCGCCCTGACTATGTCATCCTTCCTTCTGTTTATTTTAGGCTTTTTAGGCCTCTGTTGCAACCTGACCTCTAACACCGCAGATGACTAACAATCACACGTCCTTTTTTTTATCTGCTTATTAATAGATTTGCCAATAGGCTTGATATACTTATGATACCCGAGCAGAGGTAGATAGTTCAGGTCCAAAAAGTAAAAATGCAGACCAAGATTTGGTTTCAACCAATCAGTTGAGTATGAAGAGTCATAGTCACAAAGTACTCAACTGGTTGGCTGAAACAAAACCTTGGTCTGGATTTGTACTTTCTGAACCACTGTACACAAGTACGGGAATGAAATATGAGCCATTTTCCACTATAGACCTTCAAGCTTAGGAGGAAGTGCAATAATGCAGGCTGTTAAGGGGCTTTAAGAGCGGCAACGTGCCCATTAAGAGGCTCTGCTCTGCCGCCATGTGCTGCACTGGTCTGCGCATGCGGAACGCTCCAGAAACCCAGGTCTGCATCTTCTGCGCAAGATCCCCTTCACGCTGCACGTGCGGCCCTGCAGAATCTGTACTGGGCCGCAATGCTAGAACGGAATAAATTAAAATACATAAAAATATATATATATATATATACGTATAAATATGTATATATATATTTTATGAAGACGCTTATGATGTTTTTATTTGAGCACATGCGCTGCACACCTTCCTCGTGCTTAAAGGAGAGATAGTATTGTTTACTTCCCTGGAAGACACTTGTGAAGTTCCCCTCATGAATAATCCAGCAGGTATTCCTGCTTCCGCGCTACAGTAATGGCCCCTTTCCCCTTTGAATCGCAGAGGAAGCGTTTCTATTTGTCCAAGTGAAGTTCTTTGTGCTCCGGCACAATCCAGGAGGTGGCGTGGCGGTCAAAGCATCCGGTGGAATGAGAATGGTGAAATATTGATGACACGGGCCTGGGTCCTCGAATCCACATTCACAGCCAAGGGTTGAGCTTTCCTTGCGTACCGTTTTTTTTTTTTTTTTTCTCGCTGAAAGAGACTGGAATCTGCAAGCAGTGCTGTTGCTGCAATGCAGGAACCAGTAAAAGTAGATGTCAGCACTTTGCAAGGCTGGGAAAGTGCTCCAGTTTCCCCAGGAAGGCTGTCAGATCCGAGAAGACCCGTTTTTTTTACCATTTACATACTTTAGCGTCGCGATTTAGCATTAGCATAGGTGTTAGCATTTTAGCATTAGCGCGTGTGGTTTCCCGGCTTCTGCTCCTGCCCCTGTTACCTGCTAATCGGCTTTAGCGTTGTGCTATATTGTTTAGCATTACCTTCTGCTCGCCTGCTCCAGTTCTGCCCCTGTTACCTGCTAATCGGCTTTAGCGTCGCGCTATATTGTTTAGCATTACCTTCTGCTCACCTGCTCCTGTTCAACCCCCCGGTTATCTGCTAACGTGCTTTAACGTCATGCTATATCGTTCGGCATTAACCTCTGCTGACCCGCTCCTGTTCCGCCCCCGGCTGCAGGTTTCAGCCGGAACACGAGCAGCGTCTCGCCGCACGGCTACGTGCCCAGCTCCACGCCCCAGCAGAGCACCTACAGCTCCGTCACCACCAGTATGAACGGCTACGGCGGTGCCGGCATGTCCAACCTGGGCGGCTCGCCCAACTTCCTCAACGGCTCAGCGGCCAACTCTCCTTACGCCAGTGAGTTTCGGGTTTGTGTACCGTACCCAGTTACCCTGCCTCCCCGATCGCTGACTTTGCTTTTATTCCATAACCAGACCATCATAGGACCCCCCCCCCATCAAAATGCATTATAATAGACTTTGATGCATGCCCACCAGGGCCTAGATTGGCATTATTTTTACTGAACAGATATGCATATTTCCTCATGTGCTTTTTTAATTTTCTCGCAAAACCCGATGCAGATCGTCGGAATAGCCATATTGGAATAATCCTTATTCCACAAGTTTTTCAGGTGTTCTGGAACATTCCTGAAGCACAGAAACGTGTCTGCAGTTCCTTGTAATCACTACACTTCTACTAATATTAGAGTGACGGGGAAGGGCTTAGAGAAAGAGAGAGAGCGGCGAGAGATTTCTCCAAGAACCATGGGTTTGGGTTTGTGTAATTATTACGGGAAGACTAGGGGTGAGAATGTCGCCAGGCTGAATGGTCACTGGCAGGAAATCTGAAAACAAACCACAGCAGTTACAGACAAACGATTTACACCACACTTCCGCATCGACCCTCGTTTGGACAGAAAAACGTAACGTGCATTACTTGCCAAGTCCTGTCACTTTAAGAGCTTCAAAGTATTTTGTGCCCCTGGACCGAAACAGGATAAATATTACTACAAACACTTGTCTATAACGCATGACAACTCGCATCACACTAACCTTGTATTCTTGCCTTTAAATTGAAGGCTGCTAATTAAATCAATAGAGTAATTGGCGGAGTAGCAATTCAATTTCTGCACTTTGATTTCACGGTGTTAACAAGTGCTCTAAGGAGCCTGTCGAGTCTGGGCACGCATCTCCAATCAATAGGGGACACGGCTCTTAGTTCTAGTTTTCATTAATTGATTAGTTCCTGCACCATAATGGATTATGGCATTATTACGAGGTTTAACTTGGACGGCCCCGGAATGTATAAATGTAAAACGATAAGGACAATAAAAAGAGCAAGAAATTGCATGGCAGCTAGAAGGTGACGACAGCAATAGATAAAATCAGTCAAGGAGAAAATGCTCTTAGCATATTAATAATTAGGGAATTCAGCTTTCCCTTTCCTTTGGGGACAGAACTGTATGTATAAATGTAACATTTATATAGCGCCTTTCAAGACACCCATAGTGCTTTACAGAACTAGTAGGGAGCCACTTCAGCCCCCACCACTGTGCAGCCCCCACCTGGTTGATGCGACGGCAGCCATTCTGCACCAGTACGCTCACCACATAGTAGCTACGGTGGTGAAGGGGCAGGAGAGAATTCACCAGTTAGATACTGGGGATGATTAGGGGGCCAGATTTAATAGGGCCACAGGGGGCAATTTTAGCCACGATGTCTATATCGTAAAAAAAAACGATATAACCAACCAAAGAAAGTACAGCCAGTCACCTGTCAATGGTGGTGGTGTTGGTGGTCTAGCAGTTAGGACGCTTTCCTCTGGACCAGGAGATCATGGGTTTGAGTCCTACCTCTGGCGCTACCATCATTGGGTCCCTAAGCAAGACCTTTAACCCCAAATTGCTGCAGGGGAACAAGATAAGAGCGTCCTGCTGTAAATGTCAATGCTTACCCAAGAACTGTCCAAGGGATGTGAAAATCTACAATAACATTCAGATTTTCAAAACTGAATTTAATTAGATCATCCTTTATCAGTGTGCTGGCCTGCCAGTGGTGCCCAGTGGCGCCCTGCACTTCTCTGGTGAGCCTGTAGGGGGCGCCCGTGTGTCAGCCGGCAGTAACGGCGCCGTGCCCCTCTCGCCCTGTGCCCCCGCAGTCGTGCCCTCGAGCCCCACCATGGCCTCTTCCACCAGCCTGCCCTCCAACTGCAGCAGCTCCTCGGGAATCTTCTCCTTCTCGCCCGCCAACATGGTGTCTGCCGTCAAGCAGAAGAGCGCATTCGCACCCGTGGTGCGGCCCCAGGCCTCGCCGCCCCCCACCTGCACCAGCGCCAACGGCAACGGACTGCCAGGTGAGTGACTGGTGTGCCGCTCGCCGCACGGACAGCCACCGCTTTCCCTTCCCCGCCCCGCGGCGACGCCCTCTGCTCTCCGGCCGGCCTGCGATTAACACCTCCTTCTCTCTCTCCTTCCTCCTCCCGCGACCCTCCACCCCAGATCAGGCTTTTGTGGACTCTAGCAAGTACTCCACTACCAACCCGCTACAGAGCCTGGCCTTTTCCTGAAGTATGTTACACACACCTCCGCATCCCAGCATCTGTGCGCACGTCCATCCATCCGTCCATCCATCCATCCCTCCCTTTGTCCTTCATCCATCCATCCTTGTGAACTCGTATCTAGAGCTGTGGCCTTCACTTCTAGGGCTGCTCGATTATGGCAAAAGGAAATTATAAAAAAGCATAATAGCGATTATTTGCGCTAGATATTGAGATTGCGATTATTTATCTCGATTACTCATTGACTTTGAAAATATCGTGCTTTCATTGAACTTTAACGGAAAACTTTTTATTAATGGATTTCCTTGAACTCTAAATATAATTAAACTGAGAAAGAAATAAAATGGTCTGGATTGGAGTGACCTGGGTTTACAACACATGACAAAACGGGAGCATCAGCGCAAAACAAAATGCGGCACAATAACCCATTTTATCTTATTTCGTTTTGATAATCGTTGGAAGCCAAAATCACAATTGAAATTTAAATTCGATGAATCGATCACACAGCCCAAGTGCTTTCATCGTTACATTGTGCCGTTTCTTAAATTCTACATCTTACTTTAACGCTATAAAATGAAAGGCTACACATGTGCATATTGACAGCTTATCTCTCTTTTGGTCATTTTCCTCTTTTCAGTCAGTTTTTCCTCCAGTTTCCTGCCTCCAAGGGGTAAATCCAACGGCCTATAGAGTGTTAGTTAGCTGTTCCCAGCTCTCAGTAGTGATTCTGTTCCTTCTCATCTCTCTGTTTATTGTCACTCTTCATTATCTTTGAGTGTAATTTTTTCCAGCATATTTTTTGTTTCCAAATAATGATATGGGACTGTGTGTTTTGATTAATGAACTTTTTGCATTTTGTTGAATCGTGTCAGTAGGCCACAATGGAAAGCCTGTGTAGCACCTAGCAGAGGAGATCTTTTGGCTGCTGGGTTGATGTTGTTCTTTATCTTATCACCCAGACCCTTTTTAAATGGACGGGACTAGATTATTGGTTGAGGTGGCAAATCAATAAGAAATCAATAGGCTTATTGACAAATTCCTGCAATGACCGGCAGTATTCTGTATTATGGGTTTTGGGGGGGGGGGGGCTGCCTGTTGAGAGCTGTTTTGTTTCTGGTTGTTGTCCCTGGACTTTTCTTTTTTGGTTTTGCATCACTTTTGACTTCTGGCTTGATAGTCAAACGTGAACTATGGTGGTTAAGTAAACGCTGGACATGCTTAGCGTGGGACAGCCAGGTAAACGCAGGACACGTTTAGGTGTGGGACGGCCGGGTAAACGCAGGACACGTTTAGGTGTGGGACGGCCGGGTAAACGCAGGACACGTTTGGATGTGGGAC